GGTCGAGGGGCCTACGGTAGAGCCGGTGTTTACCATGACTGGGATTTGGTTGGTGGGGTTGGCATCCCAATTTTTATTCATTTTGCATATATTTCTTGCTTGCTTGCTTTTTAATTACTCAAAATTTGCTTTTCAATATTATCATTGGTATTTAATTCATTGATCGATTGGTTTAAATTGGATACCGCAAAGACATTATATGGGCAATCTTTCAACCCAACTTGTTTATTTCACAACACCAAGATTCGAACGATTTGTATAAAAGACCTAACACATCATTTCACTAGATGAACAAATAATTGTTAGTTTTAGATTTTTTTATATGTTCAAGTTAAACGACTTAAAATAATAAACTTTTTAAGTCGAAACATACTGATTCGATTCAATATTAATTGTATCAACTAGTCTATTTCCATTACACCAAGAGTAATTGACAAATCAAATAAAGGTTTAAAAAAGTGGTGATGATGTAGACTCATCCAAAATATTAAGCCTTCAAAATGTCATTAAAAACCAAAAAGTTGGGTAATTATCTTGACGGATTAGTTGTAGGTTAACTACTTCCATAGAATTAGCCAAACGAAAGATGGCTAATTTGTGACACTAACTCACTAGTTTAACAAGCCTTTTTCTCATTTATTTTTTAAATTGAAACGGGTCAAGTAAGCAAAAAATATCGTTTGAACAAACCAAAGTCACAAATCCTCGCAAAAAAAAAAAAAAATCATTAGATCACCAACAAATATCTCACTTAGGGATGGACTAAGTCGGTGTTGAGAGTGTGGTCGTCCCATAGAAATTTCAAACTCTTGTGTAATTTCTTAAATTTGCACTCTTGTCAAGAATATGCAATTATAAAGAGAAAGAATATTCCTATAGAGAGATCAACTTCAAGAACAAATCTTTGTATTTGGATATGGATACCATGAATGCTACAACACACATATACGTTGTAAGATTGTAGAAGCATGACAAGAGAGAGAGAGAGCTTGAGTTGCATATTACTATTAGGATGACGAATGAACCATAGTATTGTTGTATTGTAGCCATCAATTATCAATTCAATTTACCAACAGCGATTCTTCTTAGATCAAGTCCCAAACTTCAGCTAAAGAAGACGAAGATACGCTGTATCACTCAACAGTTTTATCTGCCACCCGGTTTTCCACGAATGCTGCAGCACGGTCACAGAAGAGTCTTTTACACAGATTTTATTCGACATTGCGGGGCTGCACTCGAGGAGGCCAGTGACGAGATATTTAATCGGCAGCGAATGAGTGAAAACACCAACACAAGAGGAGGCCGAGGAGGTGTTGGTGGAGGGGAAAGAGGAATCCCTGACGTTTATGTCATGAAGTCTAGGGTGATTATTGGATACCTTAGGAGACATTTCGTCATTGGCATCATGTTCGACGATATTCTACACGGTCTTTAGCCGGCTCTTACCGGACTTCTTCTTCGGTAGTCCATGAACCGAGGTGTTTACACCACGGGTGTTGTGGTTTCTGAATCCTCGAGTCTCGTTTTGGCGTAAGAAACAATCTGATTTCGGGTTCTTGTTCCAGACTTTCTTGACCAAGAGGTTCTTTTGGAGTTCCCCAGTGATGGATCTTTCTTCATTGTTGACTTCTTCTTCTTCTTCTTCTACCTCGTCGTATTCGTCTTCGTCTTGGCTTTCTTCTTGTTTTACTACGTGTTGGGATTCGGTGGATCCCATGATGGAAAGAGAAGATGAAATGGAGGGTGTTGTGTGGGGCTGAGACAAATGCACTTTGGTTACATGCCTGCATGCATACATACATACATAATACATTAGAAATACATAAAAAAAATCCAATTATGCTATTAATCCTTATATTATATGTAAATTATGAATTTAATTTTTATATTTTAATTTAATTAATTTTGTTCTTTAAAAATATTAATTATGACTCAAACGATAAACATTAAATGTGTTGAGCAAAATCTTATATAAGCTTGAAAGTTAGTATATATCATCAATTCAAGCTTTAACAATTTAAGTTCAGAAAATTTTAAATTTGAAAGTCTGAGTCTAAAGAATGTTGAGTGCAAGAAAATCCCAAACTCACAACGATCCAAATCTAAGACTAGAGTTGTTCAAAGATTGATTTATTCGTCCAAAACTCATGAAGGTTTAGATAAAAATATTAGACACCTAAAATGAAGGGTTTTTTTTTTAATAATCTAAGAGGATTATATTACGGTATCTGTTTAAAAAAAATCTATTAATTAGATATATATCATACAAATGTAATTGTTTGAACTAGTGACCAAAATAAAACTGACTGAAAATAAAAGTGAGAACAGGTCGAAAAAATAAGGTCCCGCCAGTGTTATTTAGCCATAAATAAAAGCTTTTGTAAAACTCAGCGTTTCCATAGCTGTGCCAAAGTCTCTGTTTCTCTTGATCCGTCGCATATCTTCTTCTCATTGCAGGCAAATTACACGCTGCTATTCCTCTTCCTCCCTTATTTCTCTCTTTCCTTTTCAACTACGGTGTTCAAATATTTTCTCGTCTTTGCAGGGTGTTGGATTTCAGGTCTTGCATCTTCTCTTTGTTTATTCGAAAGCCTTTTTTCCCTTTACTTGTGCATATTTTAATTCTCTTTTGATGCAATTCCTTATAATTTGGATTTAAGTTTAATACTTTCGTATACCCTTTTGTTCTTTGTGCTGAATTAGTTGTGGGTGTGCTCTGGAAGTGAACAACGTTGGTTACACTCGTCTTTTAATAGGAAGTTCCTTCTTGTTCATATGCCTGAAATTTTATGCGTTTCTTTGTTCTCATTTTTTCCTGGGTTTGGGATTAACGAGTTTTTCAAGTGAATTAGAAGTGCGCTCTCTGTGATGGTGAAATTCAATTTATTCAAGGGAATGAGATGCATTCCGGTGCAACGTTTGTAAATGTGCTTGAAATTTATGCTCAAATTCCAGTTGCAACTTCCTTTGGATTGTTGAAGAAAGCCTTCATCTATCCAAAGCTGGATCAATTGCTCCCTTTGGATCCTAAAATTCTTAGGAAAATGGAACAATATGCAAAGCTAGATGGGGAAGACAAGCAAGCAAAACTTAATCTCAGAACAAGTACAATCACTTCATTCTTTTCTAAAGAACCCCAAAGAGAACTATCCCTGAGTGATACCATTCACTTTTGTTAAGTTTACTATGTCTATCTTGCACCGATCAACAAGCCTAACACCCATTTCATTTTCTTGCTTTTATGGCCTCTTTTCATTCGAATTATTGGCAATCAATAATCTAAAGTTGCAATATAGTGTAAAGGAGGTTACTTTTTTTCCTGTTTTTGTTTTTGTTCTCTCTCTTACTAAACATGCTTTAGTTTAGTTCAATGAAATTAAACAGGGTTTGTCATCTACTTTACTGCAATTTTAGGGAGTAGAAACTGAGAGATGTTTGGGAGTATGGTTCAGTACTTTTCAACGAAACCCAAACAAAAAATGAAGCCAATCGAGTTGACTATGCCGGCTGAGCAAACGCAGACCATAACCAGAGTCATCTTTAACATCCTAAAAGAGCATGGCCCCCTCACTGTTAGTGATACTTGGAACCGAGTCAAGGTCCATTTTCTTGTAATTCATAATCACCACAAATTGAACATTCCATGTATTATTTTCTTTTAACAAATGCAGAGTTAGAAGCTGTGATGTAGGTATATAGGTGGTGTATTAACTGTTGTATGATTGGGATGCTTTGCTGGCCTGCGAGTTTTGACAAAATGAAGTAAAAATGGTGTATGAGTTTAGGGGGTTGGATTGAGAGGACTTACAGGCAAGAGTCATATGACGATTGTGCTGAGATGGATGAGAGAGAGACGGAAGATTAGGCTAATATGCAACCATGTGGGACCTCACAAACAATTCCTGTATACAACTTGGTTCAGTTTCTTGCTCTGCAATACTACTGGCTTAAGGACATTTACTATGAAATAAATGTAATGTTGTGTAAACTTTACTGTACTGTGAAATCAAATTGGTTTATTATCTTCTTCGAATATATTTTTCATTTTCATGGTCAAATTCCATGTTCAGTTATCATTTCTTTACTTGTCATTGCCATCTAGATTGTTCTATGCAGGCTTCTAATATTCCGGAATCAGTTTGAATTCAATTACTTGTCATTGCCATTTAGATTGGTTTCTTCTTTTTGTTTGGTTATGAAGGCTAAATAAAATCGATTCGTGTGGAGTCAAGGTGGAGATATCAATAGAATCGTCCTTCAGCTGTGAACAAACACTTTCTTCAGTGTAAATGAAAATCTTTTGTGCTGTATTGCTCTCGATTGCTTCAGAATTGAGCTGCTGGGGATCTTGGACTGCTCGACTTGGGTTTTTAACAATTGTGGACAACAGTGTATGCAGAACGAATGCAAATTGAACAGGCGTTGCAAGGTTTCCTTGGATGGCAGATGCAGCAGAATTTTACAACCCACCAAATATAAAATCTGAAGAGAGAAGAAGCTCCCGAACCACTCTGGAAAAGCTTTCAGTCCATTGAAGAAACAAATACCTTACTGCTCGAGTGCGGTTCGGTGTTGAAGTTGATGTGACAAAGAGCATGGTTTATCCCATCCATACGATCTCAATTCATTAAGGGTAGAGTAGAGACGGTGGATGGAACCAATACCTGGGAATTCTTCTACCTCTTTTGAGAAGGGACCTAATGACAATTCCTTCATACTTGTGAGGCACCCAACGCTCTCTTTGAGTCTTTTCAAGTTTTCACAATTAATAATCCACAATTCTTCCAGAGATTACTGCAATCGTCTATGAACAAGCGTTGAAGTACAAGTTGATAATCCAGATGGTGCTATCAGCTTTAATTCTAAAAGAGAGGCCAAACCATCTAAACAGGGGATGGAGCTTATGTTCTCACAATCCTCTATTGCTATTTTTTTTAAAGACTAGGGGAAAATCTACTCATTCTTGGAACGCTGTTATAATGTTAAAACACGTAATTTAATTCTTAAACGGAAGAACCACAGCATCATGGATTTACATAGCAGGAAATGTTATAATGTTAGTTTACATTTTTATTCTTCCAATTGTCACTAAAGCCGGTCAGGTTAAATTCACAAAGATGAGATAAAAATAGGCTACACAAGTGTTATTCTCTTTGTTTGGTTATGAAGGCCAAACAAAATTGAGTCGTGTCGAGGCCAAGATATCAATAGCGCCTACCACCAGCCGTGGACAAAAGAACCCTGCCTCCTTTCTTTCCTTTCTTTCCCATCTCATTCATCTTAGGCGTCTGCAAATTTTCAGCAGCCTTTGCTCTTGATATAACATTGGCAAATGAAGCCGTGCCTGAATTTCTTGAGCCTGAACAAACACAAACGAGCTGGTTAGCCTAGGGAGCTCAAGAATTCGAGAAACAGATTTTTATAACACATCGATATCCGCAGAACTGGAGAGACAGAAGACATTGATAACATCCTTCTCTAAATATCAAGCAGAACTAAATATTAGCATCAAAGCATTACCGGCTGCAGCTGGGGAATCGGTTGCCCCCTCATTGTTATGTGTACCATTTCCTTCCTCAATTTTCAATGAAGGAGAATCATGTGCAGCAGCAAAACCAAACCTAGTAACATTTGAAAACAGTTTTCTCTCCCCTGTGACTGGGGGACTTGATGATATCACATTAGAACTTCCAAGGGCTGAAATAGAACACCAAATCGTAATATAAGGTAACGATATATTTGTGTTCAAAAAGTAGCAAAGAATAGACCAGCTACGACAACTCGTACATAGCAAATTTAGAACCCACCACCTTAGTTAGAAAACATTGCACACAGTACAGGTTCCTCATAATGTATAGTTCAAACAAGACCGAAAACCCCAAAATAAAATTCAAGGCATATTGATAGGACAAATGCAGTATATTAATGATTAACCACAATATTACCTTCAAAGTCATCCATAGAGAATGAAGGGGAATCATTGTAAGAGGAGTGCCCAAAGCTAGATATAACGGGTGTAAACTGCACTGCAGCAGCAACTTCAGCCTTGATTTTCTCCTTTTGCTCCTATAGATAAGAATTAAATATCTGAATCTAAAAGCACGTCCAATCTCAAGTTACACCTTTCTCAAAAAAAATATTATTATCATTAATATCATAGAAGAAAAACCTAGAACTACTGTTGTGACAATCCATAACAATAGCTCTTCAACAATTAAAAAAGCTCACAACTCCAAATGTAAATGGCTTTAATATCAAAATGATGTCATTTAATGTTGAAGTGATAAACTCAACAGTCGCCAATAGAGTTTGATTCCACCCAATAAAATTAAACCTTGCGTGTCAAAAGTGTAGTAAATGATAACGTCCATAAAACAGTACCTTTCTAGCTAGCTGCTTCCTCTGTTTTTCACGCCTCTTGATTTCATCCATAAATGGCAGCAAAGCATCAGATGGAAGAATACCACTCAAATCAATTTCACAAAGCTGAAACAGAAAGCTACTTTTAAGAATGACACACAAAGCAAGATCTGAAACTGAAAATGGAACATGCAGCAACAAAACCATACCTGAAAAGTTGTTGTCAAGGAAAAATGACTTAAGAATCGATATCTCCTCCTCACTGCCTCAGACTGAGTGACAGTTTCCAACTCTAAAATCCTTCCACTTACTCTGAAATTCAAAAGTTATAGTTAACAAGACTAAAACAAAACACACTTTCCGTCAAAAAGAAAATGAATTAATGCACCCTTTTTAAATCATTTGGTAAGAAACACAGAGAAAAAAAGGCAAGTCCAATAGTTCTTCAAGCCTTATTAGCATGCAAAGCACAAAAAGATGGCACCATTAAAAGTAATATTCCAAATGGTTCTCTTTTTCTTTCAAATTCCCAATCAGTAATTCCTACATATTTAAATTTCATTCTCATATCTTAATATGCATGGTGGTCAATAAATCATTTCCTCAAACCTGAGTGGCAACAAATCATAGCTTCCATAATGGTGTAGGAGACACTTCACGTTTAAAGGATGGAGAATGATGTGCTGCCCATCCACCGCCTGAAACAGATAAATGAAAGATAAGAAACAACAAAATGTATACATTTAACACTTAAAAGCGTGGCTAATCTGTTGGGGGGGGGGGTCTGGCAGGTTCAAAACATAAAAAAGAAAAAGACCATAAAAAGCCAACTCCTACTTTATTGAACAGGAAAATGGCCAAATAGTGAACTCCCGTGACTGATTCACAACTAAACTAGTTTCCTTTCCCAGAAAATATGAAATTGCAATAAGAAAGGAGAAATAGAGAATTAAAAATGCCATCTTAAATTATATTCACCTGGTAGAAATTGTAAGAGCCATTGTCCTTTGCATCTTTGGAGCCGTCTAAGCACTCTTGCAAGTTCTTGCTTTCTTCAATTGATAAAGTTATAGATGAGTCTTCAGCTTCTACAGATTCAACTACGACAGCACTTTGATCCAAGGCACTCCCTCCATTTGACCCGTCTGTTTTTGAGTTGAAGTTACACTTACTGTGCTCATCATCCCCAGAAGATAAAGTTCTCCCTCCAGAACTGTGTATATTACCGATAGCTTTGGAAACATTTAAAGTAAATTTATCAGACCCCACCTTACAAGCAGTGTTTATACTAGCTTTATTGCTATCAGTGGCTCGGTGCTCCTTCCAGTACTTCTTCCTCTGTTCTAATAGTTCCATTGCAGCACAAACATACGGAAGCTTCTCCAAATCATCAACAAGCCCTGAATCTGCTATGGCCAGCCAGCTGTCTAAATCAGATATAGCTTGTCTAACTGACAGATCAACATCTGAAGTAAATATAAACTTTGAAAAGGGATCATACATGTCCTCCTCACCACACTGCATGGTGCTCGTCTCTTTTTTACTTTTCTGAGATGGAACAAATGAATCTTTTTGTCGCGCTAGAAGCATAAACTCTATCGTATTGCCCACGCAACATTGTCTAACATTCTCAATATAGATGGTGTACAGATCCTTCTGGGATACCGTTACAAAACATAAAGGGCACCTTTTGAAGCACTCACGTTTCTGATCCTCCTCGCCCATGAACAAGTATTGCAGAATACATGGGAAGCAAAAAATATGACCGCATGATGTTATTTGTGGGCATTGAGGATGTTCCAAACAAATTGGGCACTGCACAGGAAATGGGGTTGAATACCTCACACAAATAATATCCTCCCATAGTAAACTCTTATCTGGATCCATCAGTTCAGGGGCGTAACTTCCAGTATCCAACACAACAAACTTGAAATTTGCCTGAAGGAATAAATCTTTGTTATAAGGCTTAATCTTTCGCTGCCTTCTCGGGGGAGGTCCCCATAGTTGCGGACGAGAACGAACAATAGGGTCATAATGAAAATTCAGCAAGTGGTTACAATTCGTCATCTGATTTCTTTTTCCTGCCGATTGTGTAGCACCCCCATGAGCCACAGTGCCTTGATGATTTCGAGTAGAAACCATGTCTCCGGACATTTTCCCTCTAGAATGAGAATTAGTCCTCCTGTTTCTGTGTACTGAAGTCCTCTTACCATTGGACGTGTCTACTTCACTCAACTGATCCTAGCAGAAAAGAAGGTCAATTTTAACTTACTAACAATAAAAAGAGACACTTTTACGTCTCAAACATCATATATCTTCAATTCCAATGTTTCATGTGTTGAGTTCCCTAATAGTTAACAAGGACGCATACAAAACAGTTGTAAAGTTCTACCATATATCCCCATCTTTCGTGACAGAAACAGCATTAAGTAGGATAAAAAAAACGTGATACAAGAGCCTTAGTATAAAATTTTTACCTCTTTGGAGGATCCAGCTGAACCGTGTGCATCAGAATCCAAGGTGCCTGCCATAAAAAAGTAACTTTTATGATTAGAAGCTTCAGATTTTCAATACAAACTTCTATTACGACCTAATACAGCACTAAACGAACATAAAACGAGAAACCCAGATTAGAATTCGAGGAAGAACTCAAACGAAAGGAAAATTGAAGGAGGGGAAATACCTGGAGGGGAAGTGGAGAGAGACAAGGAAGGAGGATCAGAGATGTGGAGAGATCCGAAGGGTATGGGAAGAGGGGAAGGAGGAGAGGGTTGGGGACTGTCGCCATGATTGGGATTAGAGTTTTGAGGGGGAGATTGAGAGGAAGACGCTTTGGAACCTTGAGCTTGTGAGGGCAAGATGGACATGAAAATCTTCAGAGCTTCGTTTTGGGGGGATACGGGGACTGTGTTTCTCGGCGATTGTATTTTTGCGTCCTTAGCCTGCGGCCTTATCACGCATTATTATTTCAGCTCCAAATCCTATTGAGGAAAGTAAGAGAGAGAATCTACCGCATCTTCACCCGAATTTAGATTTCTGGATTGTTAAATTACTTAAATACCCTTATCATCATTATATATTCCTATTTTTATTTTTTATTTTTATCTAAGACAAATATTACAACTACACCTCAACTTTAAGTCAAACGTACAATGTCATATATAAATTTTGATTTTATATAATTATATAAGTAAAGTATTTTTCACAAATTATTAATATTAGTGTCGACAAAGTATCTCTTTACATTGAAATATTGTGTATAAAAATAATCATATTTATTTAATATGACAATGAAATAAATATTTTTGTAACATCTTAAATCTAATCACCGTTAGATAGGCTTAAGATGTTATATTAGTCCATTGAGGCAATCGTAAAATTTAAAATCATTTTCATTTCTATTTCAAATACAATATTATTTATCAAAATACAATATGTGTAATAGTTATAAAATATTTATACATATTAGAAAACTGTGATACAATAGTTTAAAATAATAAAACACAATTCTTAGAGATTACAAACTAAATACATAAATAATGGTCAAATGAATACACATGTCCACGAAAAATAAAAATATTATACCAGGGTGAAAGATGGTGAAAAATCCTATTACAATGATGTTCCTCGAACAACTCAAGCAACTAACATACAAATAAAAATATTTGAATGATGATATTTATAATGATATTACTAATCTGAAAGAGAAAATTCAATGTCACACACGTTTCGTTACAATTCCCATTAATTATAACAAATGATTTTCATGTCTCACCAATGCCATCGAATATAAATCATGACGAAAACTTAATCTCACATATACATTGGTAACATTCTCGCTCATAATACATATAGTATTGACTCGACGTCACTATAACAATGAAGCGAAATATCATGAATATCCAACAATCATCGTATAACAGATAGTTGCACATACAAAAGTGCCTATAGGCCACGCAAGGTAATCACTGCCTTAAAATGCCAAACAAGGTAGTTCGACTATATAATATCTTTGTTAACATATACACGCGAGGTCGTTTCTTATCTCATCATTACGTAATTATGTTCTCTTATCTAGAATGTTATAAAATGGTACCTTAGCATGTCGTTTAGTTAAAATTGATTATTTATTAATGATTCGCTACTCGCATTTAATTTCACATTTCTCACGATCTATTAAAAGGCCTGAAATTTGGCTCACACATTATCACTTTATTGATATTCATATAATGTGTGGTTTCTCTGGCACATTATTCACCTAATACGTCATTCTATTTATAGATATTCATTCAACAACAATTCGTCATTTTCATCTTTTCTCACCGTTCACTCGTCTTATTATTGTTCATGACAAGTGGTTAATACACTATCGACTTATTACTCTCTTTGCTTTTGGTGTGGTAGGATGAAGAAGAGGTAGTTATCGGAAAACCCCATGATGAAGAAGATGATGTTGAAGATGCAAAGAAACACGGCCTTTCCAGATCTATCTAAGAGCTCGAAGAAATCGAAAACTGCTAATCAAGAAGTTCATGTTTGGTCAACGCTTTTGAATGTAAAAACTCTTTTTTAATCGTTCCCAAATCTTTAAAATATCAAACGTCTCATCCTAATCCTAATAAATCAACTGATGATTTTTTTTCATTTATTACTATGTTGGTTCCGAGTCTTACGTAAGGACCCGACTTCCCAGCCTTGGCTTACGCCCCTTGCAATGAACAATTTTCATAATAAAACTGTCATTGCCGTATCGGTTCCTTGTCTACCTTGTTCCTCCATTTTTCTGGTTTTGGCTTTTGAATTCAATCTGCAGCAATTTGTTTAAGGGCAAGGCCAATGACATCAAGAAGGAAGTTGTTCGCTTGGAGCGTGAATCCGTTATTCCCACTCTCAAGCCCAAGATCATCATGACTTTGTCCAATCTCATTCGTACGTACATTCTCTTCTAATCAACACCTTCATGGCATCATCTTTGAGTTTCAAACTGCTCTTCTTCTTTTTCTCCTGTGTTGCAGAACATAGTACAGATCGGGCTGAGTTTGTGAAGTTCTGCAAGCTAGTCGAGTACACGGTTCGAGCTTGGTATCTTCTTCAGTTTGAGGATTTGATGGTAACATAACCCGAAACTATTTTGTCCTTATATCTTGTCTTTTTTGTTAGAGGTGTAAATCAATCGAACTTGAATGAATATAATTTTTTTATGTTGGTTTGTTTATTTTAGAAGATATTCATGTTAAGTTCATATTTATTTATTTTAAAGGTGATCGTGTTCGATTGTTGAATGTTTATTAACTAATATTTTATTCTTACTTTTTTTCAAGCAAAAACAATTGTAAAATTACGCCTCTAGTCTTTAATTTTCTTAGTCTTCACAATTTAAACTCTAAAATTCACCTTATGTTCAATCTAGTCTTTATCTTTACCCATATTTAAAATATAAAAAATAAAATGAAAAATACAACAGAGTAAACGAACTTATAAACGAGTCAATTAATTAGCTTATGAACGAGAGCATATTCGTGAACATAAACAAACTGGACACCTAGGTTCATATTCGTTTGTTTATTAAATGGAATTAAAATTTTATTTATACTCGTTTATTTAATTTAATAAACGAACGTTATACAAACAGTTGGTCGAATACTCTGTTCATCTACACCTCTATTTTTTTTTTAATTTCAGTTGGATTTTTTTTTTAGCAATTGTTCTCCCTCTTCGACTCTGTACATGGGGCTCAAAAGTTGCAGCAGCAGAATTTAACTCCTGCTGAAATTGATCTACTTGAGCAGGATTTCTTAGCATATTTATTCCAGGTGTTCTTCTTGCTTCTAGTGGAACAAAAATGAAATTGCAAAAAATTTTGAAATTCCTTTTGTTTGTATACAGGTTATGGAAAAGAGTAATTTTAAGATAGTTTCAGATGATGAGATTGATCTTGCAACTGCTGGCCAATATCTTCTTAATCTCCCCATAACAGTTGATGAATCAAAGGTCATCTGCAACTTCATGTGTTATGCACATTATCTGGTCAAATTATTAATCTTTCATTTGAAATACTGCAATGTGTATTCTCTTATCTTACATCATACTTTTTTTCTTACTGAATTCAGATTGACAATACACTTCTAAGGAAATATTTTGCTGACCATCCCCGAGATAACCTTACAGATTTTGCTGATAAGGTTTGTGAATCGCAATTTCAGCATAGAAATTGCATCATTCTCGATAATATAAATGTTCATAGAACATATTTGAAATGCAAAGACGATTCAGTACCATTTTTGATTTACAAGTATTAGTTTGAACACTCTCTTTGTCAAGCTAAGTATGTTTCTTTTGTGTCTATTACATTATCTTCAGACGTGGGATCGGAATCGATCGAACAACTAATTTTTTATACATGGAGAAGGTAGACATAATCCTTTCACAACTTTCGGCACTTCTTATGAAGCGAACTCGGTGAGTATGTTCTGGACAGTCATTACCTTATACCAGTGCTTGTGGCTTATTCTTGGCGAATGTACCTTTCCATACTGTTGCTTAGATGTAATTATGAAGACTTTTGGAAGTGTTACTTGCAGGTTGGGCAATATTTTCTGCAGAAAATCAGGAAGGGCAATTAAGGAATTGCCAAAGAAGGATGAGGACCTTAGTGAAGAATTCTATGTCGAGCGCATCGGTCTCGATAAAATGGAACTAAGGTTGTTATCTTGGAAAAACAGTTTTCATTCAGGAACATTATGTACCATATTATCTGGAGTTTAGTGTCTATCTGAACCTTGAAATTTGCTTTACATCTTTGTATGCTTCTGGTGTTGTTTCTACTCGGTAACTTTCTTCTTTCAGCATTCGGAACTTGATTACCAAGACTACAATTCAAGAACTGACGTTTGAGAGGATAATTGTTGTTTACAGGTACTTTCTATTGCATCTAAAAAGTATGTTGAACTTCCAGGAAATCGAGTCAAGGACCGAAAAAGGATCGAGGAATACATGTAAAGCATTTCAAACACATTCCTATGGCAGATCTGGAAATAGTCCTTGTGAGTCTCTCTTATTAGCTCTTTTGTTCTCAAATTTGTCATACAACATGGTGATATTGTGCATCATTGTACATTCTGTATGCTCTTTTAACAGCCTGAGAAGAAAAATCCTGGATTAACTCCTATGGATTGGGTCGCATTCATTGCCTCTGCTATAGTGGGCCTGGTCAGTTAAGAAATCATCATTCTCGCTCGTTTCATCTTCGCTCCACCATTTCTTACAGAATTTATATTTGAAAGGAAAAGCCCTATTCCACAGGTTGCAGTGATCACTTCTCTTGAAAAGCCTAAAGCTGATCTGTGGGTCATTTTTGCTATTCTGTCAACAGTGGTTGGTTACTGTGCTAAGACTTACTTAACGTACGTCCATCTTCATTTAATTCGTATACATGGTAAAGCATCAGGGGACTTGCTTGATTGTTTCTCATATTTCCATATAGGTTCGAAGCGAACATGGCTGCATATCAGAACCTAATAACACAGTCCATGTATGAAAAGCAACTCGACAGCAGAAGGGGAACTTTGCTTCACTTGTGTGATGATGTGATTCAACAGGAAGTAAGTTGATTTCTTTCTATCAATTTCAAGTAGATTTGCTTGTCGAAACCAATGAAAACAACACAGTCCATGTATATAATGATGTGTGCAGGTGAAGGAGGTGATCATTGCATTCTTTATACTAATGGAGCAAGGTAAAGCCACCGCCAAGGTATGATGCATATACGGCATACTGTATGAGGATCGACTTGAAGAGGTAAAAGGAACTTATATTGCATAATGTGCTGATATATTGATGTAGGAATTGGATCAGAGGTGTGAGGATCTACTAAAAGAGGAGTTTGGGGAGAGCTGTAATTTTGATGTGGATGATGCACTTGCAAAGCTACAGAACTTGAAAGTTCTTACAAAGGTCCACACAAACTAGATGGTTATATTTATATATATATGGTATTAATTGGTTTTGGTCAAAGTTAATGAATGTGTAAAACGGTGTATGAAATGCAGGATCCTACTGGGAAATATGCCTGTGTGGGATTAGCACGTGCTAAAGATATAATTGGTGTGACCACTGAAGAAGTAGTGCTCAAGGCAAGACAGGTTGCCATGTCATCTTGATTTGGGGAGATTTCAGCCTTGGTAAGTTATTTATTTATTTTTTTGGAGTATTTTAGCTTTCGACTTTTCAATTTTTTGTCAAAATAGCTCATGTTAGATGAAAACTGTTAGTTGACTAACGATTAATTCATATTGCTGACATGACATTTACACATGTGTTTAATTGATAGTGTGATGTATGGCACACCATTACTACAAGCATTAGAAGATTACGGTAAGAGTAAATTAAAACGTCGGGGGACTCAAATGCTAAAAAAACAAAAAAAAAATCTGTTCCAAAATGATCATTTAGACAAACATTAAAAACTGGTTTTTTTTATTGTGCCTTTTTCTTTTTGGGTACAACTCACACACCCTATGGCAGGAGCAAATTACGGTCACACAGACTACAAGCAGATAATTCCTGCTGTTTGAATCTATCATGTAGGTTGGAGGGTTGAACAGCCATGGGGGTTCGTATTGGATTCACTGTGACCTGAATTATTAATATCGATGCAGCTGAAAATTTTAGTAATCAGATTATGCAACTATTCCTTTTCCTTTTGGTTTCAGGTGGGCGGAAATGTGTTGTTACCTTAGACATTATAATTAACAGCATTAAGAAGCATACTTTTTACCCTGCTGAGTTCGAGTTATGTTTACATAGTCTATATGTTCACAAATTGTGTCATCTAGGCCATCTTGCAAAAGTATTATTTGTAACATATGTATCTTAATCTTGGATTGTATTAATTGAACAATTTTTTTAAAAGAAATAATTTGGACTTAATCATGGTCTTCACAATGCCGCCATCAATATTGAACATTTTCAAATTTTATTTAGGTTCAAAATTGAAAAATACACCGCGCTTATAATCAGAGAAGTTTATATGGTACATAAAGTGTAAAAGGGTAAATTGAATTTAATCTAAGTTATAATGATGTATTCTGAAATAGTGATTTAATTTTAGATACTGCAATAAGTTTTAACATCGTATGCAACTTCTTGAGCAAGTTGGGTGGAGAAAATTTTCAAGAATTCTTCGTGATCATAGGGTTTGAAGAGTATGGGAATTTTGTCATCCACAAGTCCTTTTGGAGCCTTCACTAGGTAGCCTCCTTTCGTCCATGCAAACACTCCAATGGTATATCTGACCTTGTTTTCCGTCATCATCACCCGATGGCAAGGCGGAGATAATCGACCATTTAACCATACCTGCCACGACAAATCCATAAGTATTTTTAAAGATAAACACATATATTAAGAAAAAAACACAGATTCTCACATAAACTTAACTCCACCATTGCATGATCATATTTCCAATACACAATTTATGTTCTCTCTATCTTAAACCTTATTTGTTATGTCATGATAGAAGACTTACACTAAGGGATTCTCCAATGATGACAATTATAGAGTTGGGAGAAGGCTTTACACTCATCCATTTTCCATATTTGTTTTGAATCTCTAATCCATTAACCTCGTTTTGATACAAAAGAGTCAGCATATTCTGGTCATGGTGCACAACTAACCCACTGGTTGGCTCGCTGGTGTTGGACCCTTCATATTTCATGGCCCTCAGTTGATAATTTGTTGAGTCAATGAGCTCATCCACGTATTTCTCAACCCCAAAACTCTCTGAAATCATCCTCATAATTGTCTTCTCTAATTCCATTACTAGCTGAGCGAATGATACCATAGTTTTACTGCCAAATCCAGAGCAAAACAAAACCAAACAATTTTAATTTGGAAAAAAAAATGTTTAATAGGTTTGCTTAAGGGTTTTTGAAACTGAAATGTATGATATGTGTTCATTCTCGATGGCTAAGAAATATTTTGACATGATACTAGCATGTAATCATTTCTTACTATTAAAAGAATAAACTTTAGTACCTGAAGCTCATGTTTCCTTGAGGCCATAAACGGGTAGTGAGCAGTTGTTCAACGTTTTCAGCAATATGCACATCATCAGCCGATATGCTTTCATACGATGTCGGTGGTGGAGAAGCATAATAGCCACGAAAGGGCTTATCGGAAACACAAAGGTTTTTTGTTTGTAAAGGCAAGTCGAAGAGCTCTTCCAAGGCTCTAAATACCGGGCTCCGATGCTCCACGACTGGGTCGAACAAAGCCTCGAAACAACCGTACTCCTCTAGTGCCTGCCGGACTCCAAGTTTCGTCGAATCCCATTCATGGATGCCTGGCTTTATCGAGTCTTGTTTTGAGAAATCTATAACCGGAATCATACCCATCTCTGTCAAGGTCGGCTATCATTTGGTTTTCTCTTTGTCTGCAACTAGAAACTGGAATCACAATACCATATATTGAGCTTGAAACATTAATTTAATTTATAAAACATTAAATTATATGTTTAGTATTTTAATTATCATTCTTGTTTTGGTTTCATTATTCAATTATCTTTTCTTTAATATTGTATTTAATATTGATTTTATTTTAATTATTCTTTGTTAAAAAAATAATAGTAATATTGATAGTCATAAGTTAATTCACATCATTATTAAAAAAATATTATTCTTAACTTTTAATAAAAATAATTAAAATAAATTTAAAATATAATATTAAATATGATTTAAAAATTAATAATTGAATAATTAAAATAAAACAAAAATGATAGTTGAAAGACATTAAACTTGTGTCACGTGTCATGCATGCATTTCTCCTACGAACTTTCTTAATTATTTTTCTTATAAAATGGACCAATCCATTACGTAAGCAATGGTGTCAGCAGAGGCTATCTACTCGAATGTTCTTTGAAATTCCAGAAACTTGAATTATGATAAAATTTCTCAAACATTATATTTGAGTTTTTTTGTAACACCACAATTTAAGAATTAAATTTTAAGAAATTATAAAATAGTGAATTTAATTGGTATTTTGAAAGAAACGGTGGATTAAATTGTAAATTTTTAAAGTTAGCAGACTATTTTATAAAGTGCAAGAAATTCAGTGGCTAAACTCATGGTTTACCCATTTTTATTATGAGTTGAATTATAAACCCCTTCCGTACGCAGGTTCTCATTTTTCCAGTTTTTCCTTCTCCAACAACCCTCCTTTCAACTTCGATCTACTCGTCATCCGACCTCCGATCGACGAGCCGAAATTACCATCGTATTCGTTGTCAACCGAGGAACAAAACTCCTCAAATCTTTTGTCGTGAATCGTCGCCGTTCGTCGTTAATTTCAGTCGGAAGTATCATCGGTAATAAACCGATTTCAGTTGGTTTTTTATCGATTCACGACGATCCGAGCAGTCGTTTACGACACCTCCCGCACCATCGTGTTCCTTGCATCGTTCCGAGTTTGCCGGTGTCATCCTTGGTCTCCGTCGACGGCGGCGCGTGAGGAGGTGAAGCGGTCAAAGTTTCCGATTTGTTGAAATCGAGCTCTCCGCCGTTCAAAATTGTGAACCGAGCTTTGTAAGTATCTCGAAATCGCTCAAAATAATTTTTAGGATTTTTTTCGGGAATTTATCACTGTTCTCGCGCCCACAACCCGTTGACCTGACCCGACCCGTTGACCTGACCCGACCCGTTGACCTTTGACCGGCGTTGACTACTGTTGACCAAAACTTTGATAGGCTTTGACTTTGACCTAGTATACCTATCCTGACATTCTTCGACGTTCCAAATCTGATTTCGCTGTCTGTTTTTCGAAATTCGAACCCGAAGACCTCGAAATTTCCAGTCAAACCCGTTGACTTTGATTTTGACCAAAAATTTTAAATTTTCAAAAAGTCATATTTTATGCTTTCGACGTCTTGAATCCGAATCTGAAGTCCGTTTCGCCAAATTCGAACCCGGTAAGCTGTTTTTCACTGATTTATCACCCGATTCGATCCGTTTATCACAATTAAGCTCCGTTTCTGATATAATTTATGTTGATATGTATCTGAGGAATTATTAGAAGTGGAATTGAAGATCAAAGGCGTTCGAATGGAATTTTTATGATCGACCAGTATTGCACGGAAATCGAAGTAATACTTTACGGAAATCGAAGTAATACTTTACTACCTCTTTATGCTTTATGGAACATGTGAATATTGGTAAATGCATGATTAAGATAATGTTAGTCTCATTTGTGTAGTTAATTAGTTTTTACACTCGATCTGAATACGATAAAAGGGTTCAATAATTGATTATGGTGCAGATGATTTTTATAAGAAAATGAGGGATTGTTAGAATTAAATTACAAGTTCTGTGCTTAGTGATAAAGAAATCAACATGGATTTGTAACTTACAGTTTATTTCATCAAAGGTTAAATGTTAAAGGTATTTGGATGGGAAATTATGATAATACTCTGGTAAGGTAAAATTATGAAAATACCCTTAAGTTGTAAGATGTCAAGAATTGTCCCTGAAAGTTGATTAATAACTCTGAAAGGATATATTGATATGATACAACTACATACGTGTTTAAGAAATGCTAGGTTTTGCTTACGAAATACGGATAATCGGTTTTTAAACCCTAGAGGGTTTGTGCAATATATTAGAATTCTATTAAGGAATCATTTCAAGATAAGAGAATGTTCAGGAAAGCAATTGATCATAGGATCTCTAAATTATAATTATTTTCGTTAATAGCTAATATTGAAATTATATGGTTAAGAAATTACGAAAATGCCCTTGAGATGTAAAATAGTCTGAGTTGACCCTAAATGAGAAAGTACTTTGAGGATTTGTACTTAACTCGATTAAGTACGAATTTAATTGTTAAGATCTTGTCTTCGTACAGAAAAATTCATGATATTCCGTTTGTAAAATTTGAGAATGCACTTGACCCAGAAATATTCGAGTAATGAGTAAATACCTGAAGAATAATTTATCGGGGGTATTCTGCTGTCAGAATTGTTCGAAAGGACTGAAATAAATGATAAGATTAAATTTAATAGTAAGATTGGACGAAAGAAAAGGATTAAAATACATTGAATCTATAAAATGACCAAAATACCCCTGTAATGAAAATGACTCAAGAATATCACCAAGCTCAGGAATGATTGGATATCCTCGAGCTCTGAAATGAATAGAATAAAACTGAACACTAAAATTACCAAAATACCCTTATGGCCTATATTAAGTAAATGCCTTGGATTAATTAAGGAATCCAAATAAGCATAGGTATTGGACTACCTTTAAAAGTTATGGAACACAGCTTAAGTGAGCCGATCAACCTTAATGATATGTCAGTACCTGAACGACATAGATATTACTTGAATGCGTGTTCGTCTACTCAAGTTTAACTCAATGATAATTTTGGAAGTATTCAGCTCAACTCAACTCTAGCTCGTATTCAGTGGTAATAATTTGATATTTGTTAGGCAAATCAACCACGAAGACCAAATTGAATTGAACAGAAGTACAGTATGTATCCGAAATTCATAAACGTCTGGATTACCCTGGAAAACCCTAAAGTAACTAGAATGGACATGACTGCTAAATGAACTAGGTAACTTCAATGATTGATGTTGAAAACATTTTGATATTTCGATATAACAAATTAAGTTAAATGAATTTTAAGATTTTCCAAATGATTTTCTAAGTATATTCGATAGAATTATTCGAATATCAAAACATTACTCCAAATATTTCAAAGATCATTTTTAATCCTTACTCAAAGTGTAAAATTAAGTTTTAATCTTAAAACAATTTCAAAATAATTTTACAAAGTATTTCGAACCATTTCAAAGCCAAAAATTCCAGATTGCTCAGAGGGAACCGATTCCCCCTAAGGGGGTACCGATTCCCCCCTAAGGGGGTACCGATTCCCCCCTGAATGGTTTGGCTCCGAGATTTCCAGAATGCTCGGAGGGAATCGATTCCCCCATAGGGGGTACCGATTCCCCCCTTGTATAACGGTCGAAATATTTGAATTTTACACTTAGGGAACCGATTCCCCATAGGGGGTACCGATTCCCCCCACGCTCCAAGCTGTTTTATTAATTGTTTTCACACTAAAACGACTATATGATCTTCACTAATCATCCCCAACATTCATAAGTGATTCAAGGTGTATTTAAACAAGTTCTGAAGCCCTTGATCAACAAGAAATCATAGAGAAACAAGAGAGAAAGCATCAAACACCAAGTTTGTGCAAATCAAGCCAATTTTCCTTTCAATATTCATTTTGCTTTCAAGAACACCATTTGTGCTCATTTGTAATTATCTTTGAGTGTTCTTTTCTTGTTCTAGAATTGTGCAAACATCTTACCTTGTGAGGTTTTCCTTGTAAGTTTGCAAATTTGTAATCTTCTCTTTGGGAAAGAGTGTTCTCAAGAATTAGGGTATATTCTTGAGGGTGTTGTAAGGTTATCTCTTTGGCCTCAAAAGAAAGAACAAATTAGTGAATTTGTTGGAAAATCCTTAGTGTGGATAGTTAAGGTAGTGGACGTAGACTTTGATTGAGAAAGTCGAACCACTCTATATTGCTGTGCAATTACTTTCAATTTTCTGCAAAAGCTTCAACCAAATTTTTAATTGCCAATTCACCCCCCTCTTGGCCAATTCCGTCAATCGATTAACTCAACAATTGGAATCAGAGCCTAACTCATTTGAAGGTTTAATCGCCTCTTGAGTTGATCCGGGAAGAGTTAAATCGATAAAGATGGCGTCAACTTCCGGTTCATTCTCCATGGAAGAATCCAGACCTATTGACGTGCTTCCACACTTCAATGGAACAAATTATCGTCATTGGAAGAGGTGTATGATGATATTCATCAAAGCATTTGATATGGAAGCTTGGATGATAATCAAGAAAGGATATTCCTCTCCTACTAAGAAGGTAAAGAAGTGGAGTGTTCAAGAACAGAAGGAAGCTCAACAAAACTCAAAGGCTATGCACATGTTGTGTTGTGCAATTGATCCTAATGTATATAAGGGAGTTTCTTCTTGTTCAAGTGCCAAGGAAATGTGGGATAAGCTTGAGGAGATCTATAGAGACAAGGAAGAACAAGAACCAATAAAAGTGATGTCTCTATTAGCTCTCACAGAGCCAAAGGCATCTTCTAACTCAAATATATCAAATTCAAAATCTTTTAATGAGTTACAAGATGCTTATGATAAATTATTTTCGGAGTTTGAGACCATGAACTCCAAATACAATAAATTGATTTCTAAATTTATTGCTAAAAATGATCTTCTTTTGAAAGCTAAAACATACTTGGAAAATCAAAATGAAATGTTGAGAAAGGAGTTAGAGCTTTCAAAAATAAAATTTGAAAACTTTGAAAAAGAAATTTTCAAATTAAACAAACTTCTTC